AGAAAGGCTGAGTCTCTGAACTGAGAGCAAACCAGTGACTAGAATTTCATCTACTTGCTGGTTTTAACAAGTGGGTTAATAAGTCCTCTGAATATAAATATGAACGTAGAAAACATTATATTCACACATGCCCCAGTTGAAAAACTTATTAGCTAGGTTGGTTATATATGCTATATAAATATAATATTGTATATTTATGTTTAATGTATATTATAAGTCTATTTTAGATACACATATGTAATGCAGTAGATGTATGAATACTGCATTATGTGATATATTTGGATGTGGATATGGAATCCTTTATATAACTTATATTTTTATGTTTTTATTATGATTGGCTGGAAAACATTTTTTCATTTTTTTTAAATGAATGTACCTCACACACTGCAGCCCAACTGTTCTGGAGCCAAACTCACAGCTATCCTCCTGCCTCAACCTTCCAAGTGCCAGACTAGTTTTATTTTTAAACAAAAAAAGGAAATTTTATGATGTTTAAAGCCCAAAATCAAAGAGTCCAAAATCTCTGTAATGAAAAACCCTCTTCTTTCATCTTGAATCCCCTGAGTCCCCCCTTTAGTCACTACCATTAATAGTTACTTTTTTTTTTTTTGGTGGTTTTTGTTGTTGTTGTTGTTGTTTGAGACAGGGTTTCCCTGTAACCCCAGTTGACCTGAAGCTCACTATATATACCAGGCTGGCCTCAATCTCACAGAGATCTGCCAGCCTGTACCTCCCGAGTACTGAGATTAAAGGTGCGCATCACCACACCTGGCTAACAGTTACTTTTCAAGCAAACCCACACAGAGAGAGTCTATGTGTTTTCTCACACACTGCCCAGACATGCCAAACGTACACACAATATGCTTTTCACCATTTCTTTCCTTAGGGACTTTTAATTTTGGTGATCCTTTTTTAAAAATTTTTTTAATTTATTATTTTTAATTTATATGTATGAATGTATTGCCTGCATGTATGTGAGTGCACCCGTGCAGTGCAATGCCGTGGAGGTCAGAAGAGGGCTTTGGATTCCCTGGGACTAGAGTTAAGGACAGTTCATAGCCGCCATGTCGGTGCTGGGAATTGAGTCCAGTCCTCTGCAAGAGCAGTCAGTGCTCTTAACCGTGGAGCCATCTCTTCAGCCCCATTTTTTAATAACATATACTCATCTACTTGGTTCTTTTTAATGATATGTAGCATTCTATTTATTTGAATGTGGCACAGTTTAATATACCAGCCCTGACCAACAGGCATGCAGGTTGTTCTTACGTTTCTGTTATAATAGAGCCTTGTATTTAACCTGATGCGCAAATATCTCTGGGGAATCTCTTAGAAGTACTTCATCAGTGTCAGTGGGTATATGTGTTGTAATTTAGCACGATAGCCATTGTTATTATAATATTTTTAATAGGTATCCCAAGGGGTTAAGACCATTTTATCCACCCACCAGCAGGGCCAAGAGGAACCTGTTGTCCTTTCATTAGCTTAACTGTTTCAATACTGGCCAGTCTGTTGGTTTCTACTGAGTTCTCATGGATATTATAACACCTACAGTTTTAACACCCGCCCCTTAGCAACCACTCCATCTAGTCCCCTCATTTTATGGCAAGCAAGGCTGTAACGATTGCTTGACGTCATCCTTCACCTAAGGCTGAAGTATAATACCCTATTCCTCCATTCTTAGAAATGTAGACTGCGTAGGCAGAGTTGGCAGCAAACACGCTCTTGACCACTTGGGGAATTTTTAGAAGCTTTCTCTCCTGAGAGAAGTCACACATCTTTAATTATTTCCAAATGGATGAGTGCAAATTCTGCAAGATTGGCAGCAGCATTTCTTAAAGAGAAGGGCTTTGTTTGTGGGGTGGTAGGGTTAATGAGAGGGGTCTGAGTCAGACTGGCCAGAGTTCTCTTCTAAGCCTCTCCTGACTAGCACTGACTCGCTGGGCAAGAAGCTCTGAGCCTGTTTCTTCATCTCTAAAATGGGAAGCATGGTGGTATCTATGCCCAAAGGTATCTGTAAGGATGCTAAGATGATACATGAGGGGTGCTTGCAGGTTGCTGAGCCTGTTTCCCCAGGGCTTTCCCCAGAAGCACTGTTGTTCATGGTTTTTACAAGCTGTACCTTCTGGTCCTCTGCCAGGGATAGCCTCTTTTCCTTTTTGATCTCTTCCACTTGTGACCACATCACCACTTAAAATGAAATGTGATAGGTCAAGTGACTCCCATGCAGTACAAGCAAGATGCCCTCTTCCGAAAAAGGCGGAGCTCTTTTTCCACTGTGATGGAGCAGCACCAGGAGACTAATATGGGCACTTTTCTTGTAGCCTCTGTTATCCAAGGACATCCAGGAAACACTGACTCCTGTGGAGCCAACCCGCATCTTTTGGGTCTGTGTGTAGCACAGCGTAGTTCTGACCCTCACTGATGTCCTCCACTGACATCTGACTTCGGAAGCTTGACAGCCCTGCAGATAAAGGCCACATCACATAGCACAATGTCCATCTGGAAAGCCATCTAGGTAAGTCCACCTTGTCTAGGCCACAGAAATGCCAAGCAAAGACTGCTTCCCTCCAGTCCTTTAAACCTCAAACATAAGCACTACCCAGGCCTTTAGCCCTGCCTGGCAGTCCCAGCCCAGGTCATGGTTTGCTCCTGAGTTTCCACAGCTGGAGCTTGTGGGAGTGGAGGCTTTGTGGGTACAAAGCAAGTGTGTGTTTGTATCTTCCTGTTAGTGCCTCTTTGTGCCAGTAGTGGGGGTTCCTGGGACACCTACTGGTCTCTGGGACCTTAGAGGATAATTTTATGTGAGTAGGTTACAAGTTAATATTTCTATAACCTCTATTTTTCTTTTCTTTCTTTTTTCTTTTTGAAATAGGGTCCCCCTGTAGCCCCAGCTGGCCTAGAATTCACTATGTAGATCAGGCTGGCCCCAATCCCACAGAAAACCTCCTGCCTCTGCCTCCCCAGTGCTGGGATTAAAGGCTTGTGCCACCAACCCACAGCTATCCGACCCATATAACCTCTATTTTTCTACCTTCTCCCAGAAATGTCAGGTCTCTCCGATAGAACCCAAACCGGGGCTACCTTTACCCACTGCTCAAAGAGATTCAGTGTAAAGACTGATTATAGGATCAGCCTCGCCTCACCTCATTTTTATGCTACGCAGTCTTCTGATTTTGTGTATAGAACCCAAACTGGGGCTACCTTTACCCACTTCTCAAAGAGATTCAGTGTAAAGACTGATTATACGATCAGCCTCGCCTCACCTCATTTTTATGCTACGCAGTCTTCTGATTTTGTGCATCTTGTCCAATCAGGGAATGGCCAGAGCTTCCAGCCACACTTCACACACATCTAGGAGCCTCCCCCTGCCTCCACCATATCCCAAGCACAAGGTCCACACTTTACACTTAGCTTCATCCGTAGGGAATTATAGAAGAAGTATAATTAACTCATGGAAATGCAGAAGGCCCAAGGGTAGTTCATAGGGTGTGCAGTTGGCCACGCCCTTCCACCTCCACAGTGCCCTGCCCTGAGAGGCTTCCCCTCAGGATCCTGCCTCCTCACCTGTGTCCTGGGACGGTGGACTGGAGGATGGAGGATGGATGGCTGGAGCTCCTCCAGCTCTGATGCCTGTGACTCCCAGCGTCATGAGGCTGTGATCTTGACTTCTACAGAGCTGCTTCACAAACCTCATGTTTCCCTTTTGGTTTATTTGTTTGTTGGGTTTTTTGAAATATAGAAAGCAAAATAATGAATACAATAGCAGCCATTTATTTCTACCACCTCAAAGTAATATACACACCCGGAATCTCTCTCCCCCCTTCCCCGTCTCTCTCCTCTTCCCTGTCTCTCTCCCCCTCCTCTTGCCTTCATACAAGTTATAGTTGATATTATAAATATGACATATGTTTATTACTAAACCCAAATCCATTCGCTCACGGAAGAATAGTAGAAAAATGAAAACATACATATGGGTTTGTGTGAGATACATAGGCGTATGAAACCCCATCTTTAAAATACAAATATTCTAGGCTTGAGAGATGGCTCAGGGGTTAAGAGTACTGGCTGCTCTTGCAGAGGTCCCGGGTTCAATTCCCAGCACCCACACGGTAGCTAACAACCATCTGTAACTCCAGTTCCAGGGAATCTGATACCTTCTCCTAACCTCTCCAGGCATTGTATAACACAGGTGCACTTATATACATGCAAGCAATATACTCATATACATAAACTAAAAACAACAATTTTTTAAAAAGATAAATAGACATACACAGGCACCAAGGATCCAAGTGCAACCGATTATGACTGGTAATAATCAGATACATACCGATTAGCGATGCATGCGCCAACATCTCAGACTTAGTAGTAAAAACAATGAGTCTTTCTGCAAGGAATAATATATTCTAAAATGAAATGGAGATCTTTTTTAAAGGTTAAAAACTCATTCAATTTTATGTCTTACAGGGCTTATACTGAGTTCAATATTGTATAACTATATTAATTCAACTGTGAACCTAGAAACTTGCACCCACTTGTGAAAGAGATGTACTCTTGCTCTGGAGTATATTACAGAATATATTACATCTGTAGTGATATGCTTCTTCTAATCATGTAGTTATTAAAAATTTAAAAAATAGTGATTAAAAACACTTCAAAGCATAAAAAAAGATAGCTATTCTAACACTAAGTGATTATTCCTTCTTCAGTATATAGATTGATAGAAACATGAAGCAGATGAACAGAAATAATCTATGAAGACAGCTTTAATCCATCTAAACTCTTTCATTGAGTAATTTAATTTTATTTGGATTGTATCTGTTTGTTACTATAATATCTTAGTAGAAGAAAAGATTGATGGAAATAGATTTTGACCACAATTTTTGTGCCTTATTGAAAAATTATTTTTCAAATTCTGTAACACTAAAAAGATAATTTTTTCAGGCTTATGAAAAAAATCTCCTTGGCTCATGGACATCCTAAGTCCCAGTGGTGTCTGATGTCCATGTGGCTAGATGTAGGAATGATGGGAAGATAGGCAGATGTCATTCCTGCCCTTCACCCAGGTCTCTTGCTTGGTTTTCTTCTAATTGTCTTCTGCCTTGCCGTTGCAACTTAGCTGAAGAACTTCCTTTAGCCGCTCCAGGAATAAACGTCTACCAAAAACAAAACAGGACAAAACCAACCACATTTTCTCAACTTTTTCTTGGTTTGAGGTAGGGTTTCATTCTAGCTCAACCTGGCTTGAAATTCACTATATAGCCCAGGTTGGCCTTGAACTTTGTGACAATTCTCCTGCCTCAGCTTCTCAAGTATTGGGATTACAGGCATGAGCCATCATGCCTAGCAACTTTTGTTTTTCTGAAAGTATGCTTCATTTGCCTTAACTTTGGAAAGGTGTCGCCATGTTGGAGAAGTCACTGGGGGTGGGCTTAGACAGTACTTAAGCCTTGCCAGACCCCAGTCACATGCTGCCTCCTGTGCCTGCTTGAAGATGTGAGCACTTAGCTTCTGCTCCTACTCCTCTGCCACCATGCCTCCCTGCCATGATGGTCTCTTGCCCCTTGGGAACCAGAAGCTAAATAAACTCTTCCTTTTATAAGTTCCCTTGGTCATGGTGTTTTATCACAGCAACAGAAAGGTAACTAAGGCACATTTCTTGCTCAAATTTTGCCGTTGTTTCACTAGGACCATATATATTTTAAATTTATGTATTTTAAAACTTTTTTCTAGGTCATTCACAGTTTTTGTGTCCTAACTGTAACATTTTGTGTCACCTTTGGATCATTCACAATGGCTACTCTGACTCTTGGATATGGATCACATTTTCCTATTGCTTTTCACATAATTTAAAAAAATTGGATCCTGACCATTATGGGTGGCCTGCTGTAGAGACCCTAGTTTCTGTTATCTTCCTTTGAAGAGAGTGATTTCTTTCCTGATAATTTTAAATCATTAATCATTTTGAACTTGTGGAGGAGGTTTGGTTGTATAATTTGCTAAGCTGGGTTTGATTATAATACAGTTGCCCTCATTTCAAGTGGCTTTGGACATCAGTTAAAACACTATTTGCAAATATGATCAACCATAAGTGTAATTCCGTTCCACCAAGTAAACAGTGCTGCCCATTGCACTGTGATGCAGTATGGTAATGGTATTCTTTGCTATCGAATTTTGATGCAGTGCAAGGCAATGTCATGTAATGTTGAGAGTGATGCAGGGCTGTGCCAGTGTAGTTTGAGGTTGACTGTGATGCAGTGCTTGGCAGTGCTGCAGGAGTTGGACAGTGATGCAGCACTGGGGTAGTGCTATATGTTGTTGATGGTGATATAGGGCTGTGACAATGGTGTTTGCTAATGTATTGTTGTGGCAATGCTGTGTGATGTTAATGGTGATGCAGGACTGTGGCAATGGCATTTGATGTTGACAGTGATGCAGTATTATAAGATGTTAGTGATGATGTAGTGCTGAGGCAGTGCTATGTGATGATGCACATTGATTCATTGTCTGATGCATGACTGGGTTACATCAGCCACTTTTAATTTTGAATATCCTCTCATTATTCCAAAAATATGACAGCATTTTTTTTGCTTTCTGTGACGTTGCTTACCAAGGGACATGCAATATTTTTTCATGTAAAGCAGCCACAGAGGGGCTAGAGAGATGGCTCAGTGGTTAATGGCACTGTCTCCTTTGGCATAAGACCCAGGTTCAGTTCCCAGCACCCACACAGTAGCTAATAACCATCCTAATTCTAGTTCCAGGGGATCCGATGCCCTCTTCTACTCTCCAAAGTCATTGTGCAACATGGGTGCACTTAATATACATACAGGCAAATACTCATACACATAAAAATTTAAAAATACAAACTAAAATAATTTTTGACTTCCATTGGTTCTGAGTGCAATAGTACTTGTTCCCCAATCAGTCTATCACTGTGCAGGATGTTATCCCCAGATTGGCAGTCCTGAGATGCTGGCCTACCTGGATGCAGGGACTGGAGGTGACTCCACTGGTGTATGTGGGTTGATGATGCCAGGAACAATAGTTTCTCCAAGGGATACTGTAATTGCTTTAATGGAAGAAAAGTTATTTGACTCTGGCGGACTGCAGAGCAATAAATGCTATACTGGCTGGTGGTTGGCTCTTTGCTAATATTATTTTAAGAATCAAAGATCCTGAATGTTATCAGTGTCTTTGGTCACCAGTTGGCTGGCCTTCAGGGTGTGTCTTAGAGCCTGTAGGAAGCACCCTGGGAAAAATCTACGAATCTCTAATTCGTTACTCTGGTTCCATTTATGGAACCATCATCAGTTTATCTGAGATAAAAATCACTTTATTTTATAAAATTTCATCAAGTTAAATTGGCAAGTATTTCTTATGGGAATTATGACCAAATATCCCCTTTAAAAATATTTAATACTCCTAGGAGAAGATACAGAGCTAAGGTCCATTAGGCTACTAACAGTTGGCCCAGGTCATTCCTCTCTACGTATCCCTGGTTTATTTTACTTTATGTTATTTTATTTTATTAAATAAGACTCTACTCTGGTACGGTCTGTGTTTTATAAAACATTAAACCATTTGAGGAGTATTCCAGAAGAATCCAGGACCCCTGTCTGGAATTTATTTTTAGTAAATCAGACAAAACTAAGAGCCGGACTGAGATCTACTATCTAGCATCAAGCAGAATTATTCTGCGGGGCAGAGCAAAACTGGCTTGGGTGAATGTTTTCCCTGGGGCATTTAACTTTATTTATGGTCTCTGTTTCCTGTCCTTTCTCAGGTTATCTGCAAACTCCTAAGGCAGATGTGCAGGCCAGTTAGTCCCCCTTGATCAAAGTGAGCATAACCGCAGCCTAAGCCTGGACTTTGCTGTCTTGGTAGATAAAGAGGTCAGCATCATGTTGTCCTTACGTCTCACCTTTGGAAGTTAAAAGAAAAGTTCTCTATCTGAGGAGCTTCCCAGATTCCTAGGACCAGCAGACTGCATGGCCACTGTTGGAGCTGATCCTTTTAGGATTAAAATAAGTTTGGGTCCATTAACAGTGCTCACTTTCCTTTCTATCTTACTTTCTGTCCCTTCCCCTCCCCTCCTCTCCTTTTTTCTCTGCTTCCCCTTCACTCCCTCCCTCCTCTTCCTCTTTATTCTTTCTCTGAGAGAGAGAGAGAGAGAGAGAGAGAGAGAGAGAGAGAGAGAGAGAGAGAATGAATCAGAAACAATTACCTCTTTCTTCTTTCTCTGAGAGAGAGAGAGAGAGAGAGAGAGAGAGAGAGAGAGAATTTTGCTGTATAGCCTAAGTGGGACTCGAACTCATGATCCTCCTGCCTCAGCCTCAAGTGCTATGATCAGACATACACCCTAGTCCTGGTTCATAATATTCTTTCTTTTAAGATTTATGTATGTTTATTTTATGTGTATGAGTGTTTGCCTGAATGTATGTATGTATACCACACGTATGCAATGTCTACAGAGTCCAGAAGACAGTATCAGATCTGCTGAAATAGTTGTGAGCTGCCAGCTGGGTACTGGGAACCAAACCCAGGCCTCTGCAAGAGCAGCAAGTGATCTTAACCGCTAACACATCTCTCCAGCCTCCATGATATTTTTAAATAGCATACTATCCTCAAGGCCAAGTGGAAAACCAGTAACTAATTTTTAAAAATATTTATTTTTAATTATGTGTATGTGGGAGGGGGCAGGTATCTGAGGAGGACAGAGGTGTCAGGTTCCCCTGGAGTTGGAGTTAGAGGTTACCCACCTGATTTGGGTGCTGGGATCTAAACTGGTGTTCTCTGTAAGAGCAATATGTGCTCTTAACCACTGAGTCATCTCTCCAGCCCCCAACCCCCACCCCAGTGACTAAGTTTTGCTTTGTCAAGTCTTTGGGCACAGAAAGTGTCAACACTGGGAGTTTGTTAAGCCAGACAGAGGGTCCTACAGGATGTGTCATTGCACGTTGTAAAATCTCAGTTTTCCAAATATTAGCTGTACTTAGACTGATAAAAAGATTAAACCCACAGCATTTGTAAGCGATAAAGAAGTTGGGGCCTGAAAATTCAATAGGGACCTATTGAAAGCATCACACAAACCCTTCCAGGTGACCAAACCTGTGCAGCTGGGAGCCACACATGCCAGCCAACCTCCTCAAGGTCTGCATCTAAGGACTGTACCATTTAAGGGGAGGAGGAACATATTATCACATGACCCACCTCTGGGAGAGGAAGTCAAAGGACCAAATAGAAAGGAAATGTATCAACTCAAAAACGCCCTGAGAAATACATGTAAAACATCTGAACCTGAATGCATGTGTACAGCTGAAGACTACGTAACAAGAAACAGTGCCAGACAGGAGACACTTCCCTTCGAGTTGTCGGTCAGGGTAGTCCAAGAGACTCCCAAAATAACATAGGTTATTGCCACAGCCTTTGATTATCTCCAAGATCTTGAAGAAAAGACCCTATTGCTGAAGAAAGGACGTAGTTCAGACCCAGGACTTGGAGCAATGGAGCTAGAACTGACCTGGAAACCTTCTCCCTTGAAGACTAACTCTCAGACTTCTAGAAGATACTAGGCAAGCTGCTAAGGGAGAAAAATCAATCAATGGTCTGACCCAGCTGGAAGTCTAATAACCACAATGACTGGCACAGCAAATTGTCTCTATTGATGTAGTAGTGGGACTTTTATTTGGATAATCAACAACCATCTAACTGAACTTAAAGCCCTCTCGATAGGAGGGAACTCATAGGTGGCATTGAAAAGACAGTCAAAGACATAGGTTTGGAGAGGTCATACATCCCAGAGAAAACCTTATCTCTGTCATATCTCTAGACAAATGAAATTTCTTACCATATGGTAATATGGATCCTTATATTTACAAACAAATATACCATATACCATTCATCAAAGAAGCTCCTCTTTTTGCAACAGATGGAAGCTATTCAGAATCCACAGCTGGTCACACACAGAGAATATATGTCTGAGAGATGCCCATCCCTAAGTGACACATCTACAGTGGAACCTCTACAGCTAAGACTCATGGGACACAGCCAAACAGAGGGTAGAGAGAATACTAATGTATTCTTCAACTCTCACCAGCAAACAACAGAGTGTGATGCACACAGAAGGCCACAACTGAAAAGTTTTAGTGAATAAGAGACTGTAGCTTCCATGCCCCACAATAGGACTCCTATACTAAACCTCATCTACCCACAGCTCAGGGACCATGCAGAAGAGGGGGCAGAAAGATTGGAAGAGCCAGGGTTGGTGCATGAACAGAAGAAAACAGAGGCTTTCAGGCCTCAGGGAACTTGCTCATGAACTTACAACAATGGTGACAGCATGCACAAGACTCATACTGACTCAATCAAACAAAAACCCAGCATAGAACAGGAGAAATGCACACCTACCACCCCTTTCAAGGCTCAGGGACTTTTTGGAAGAGGTTGGCAGAAAGAATGTAAGAACTGGAGGAAGGGGTGGAATGTTAACTAAGTGTCCCCTGACCACTATGCCAGCAAGCTATAGTCACACCTCCTTCCCAGACTCATCAAGGAGTCTATGGGGTAGGCAGTTACCCCTCCCACCCAGTCAGTGGACTTTAGCTGCATGTGGGGGAGGGGTTAAGGATATATAAGCTGAGGACGCCAGGAGGCCCCTCTCTCGCTATTTTCTGTGGCTGTTGGGAAGTCGCAGGATCTATATTTGAGTGTGGACTTTCCAGTGCAGCCATAAATGGGGGAGGACGCCCACTCCTCTGTAAATAAACCCCCACTCTATGCTCTACTGAAAAAAAAAAAGAAAATGATACATCTTTGGATAGATAGAGGAGAGAGATCTGACTAGACTGCAAGTGGATGGACTTGCACTGGGGAACGTCTGGGGACACTGACTTGACACAGTGGGCCTTAACACCCAGGACAGAGTATATGGGTTCCAGTTGGGGGTGCTATGGGAGGGTTCTGGTGGGAACAGGGCTATAAAGATGATTCGGATTGTGGGCTGGAGAGATGCCTCAGAGGTTAAGAACACTGGTTGTTCTTACTGAAGACCCAGGTTCGAATCCCAGCACCCACCTGGCAGCTAACAACTGTCAGTAACTCCAGTTCCAGGGGATCTGACAGCCTCTTCTGTCCTCCGCAGGCATTGCATGACACGGGTGCACTTACCTACATGCAGGCATAACATTCATATGCATAAAATAAAAATCATAAATAAAATATAAAAACATATGAAGTACAAAAAGAATCCATTTTAAAAACTGTAAAAAGGGCCATATAGAAGCTTTACATGGAGAAAACTCCACCCAGAGCAGCCTGCTTGCCCAAGGCCTCCCAGCCTCTGCACCTTGCTTCCCTATAATCTAGTTTCCTTTTGAAAACAATGTATCTATGTTTGCATGTGTATGTGTATATGTGTGTGTGTGTGTGTGTGTGTGTGTGTGTGACTGGGTGTGCCATGGAATGTGAAGGAAGGTCAGAGGATACCTTCAGGTAGCTACTATCTTTGCCTTCCACCTTGTTTGGGACAGTCAGGAATTCTGTCTCTGTGTCCCATCTCCTCACAGGACCACTGGGATTGAAGATCCATACTACCGTGTCCAGCTTAATGTGAGTTCCTGTGATTTGAACTCAGGTCCTCACTTCACATGACAAGTGCCTTTA